GTCTTCGTCCTTGACCAAGGATTAAGCAAAGGCTTCATGAGCCGCGTGGAATATAATGAGAACGGGCCGTCGGCGATCCATGAATATATGATGTGATTGTATCGCAATGTCGTTTTGTTTTGCCCATATTTCACCATGATCCAAGGAGTTCGGCAACGAGGTGTTCCACTTTGGTCCACGAGGGTACCCTTTTAATCGATTTTGGACTCGTTGCCCTCTACATATACTATGATTTGTGATTTTTTTCTGCCTTGCCCTTCAACAATTGTACTTTACACGGTGGGCGTCAGTTCTTCTAGAAAAGCAATTCTGTCTGGATGCGGGTAGGATAGCTGGCGTCTGGTCCTCAGTTAATAGCGTTTAATATACTCTTTCCGCAAGGAGATGTACGCCTTTGAGGGCAATCCGAGCTTTTGCTGTCAAATATCATACCTATTCGTCCCTTTTGATAACAAGCCACAAATCTCCTTACGGCCTTTGCTCCTAATCACGTGACTGCGCCTTAGCCACAGAACCCGGTCACCCGCCACATCTGTCTTGCCTCTCGATCAACACATCGCCAACGAAGCTCTCTTTATATCCCTTCATCTCTCTTTCAGTTCCAAGATTCGGACGAAGGTTCGAATGGAAACGCGTACACCCTGAAACCTGTACTAAACCTGGTTAATCCGTCCTTACACCTTGCACATTTCTTACCTTCAATATGCCTCGTGCGGAGGCTGGAAGCACCAAAGCGATCAGCAACAAGATCAAAGCCGTATGTTCTCATTGCTGTCCTACAATTTTGAAAAGTATCAATTCTCTAACAGAAAATAGAAAGGCTTAGGCAGATTGCGATGGTACTGCCAGGCTTGCGAGCGCCAGATGCGCGATGAAAACGGATTCAAGTGGTAAGCCTCTTATTTCCTATGGGCTTTTTGGCAAGCGTATACTGATTTTTATTACCTCAGTCATGTACAGAGCGAAAGCCATGTACGACAGATGCTGCTCATCGGCGAAGATCCCAAGAAACATATCGAGGAATTCAGCAGAGAGTTCCTGAACAACTTTGTCAATTTGCTCAAGACTACCCACGGCGAGAAGAAGGTCCACATCAATCAATTCTATCAGCAGGTTATTGCGGATAAGGAGGTGAGTCGAGCAATAATGGTTGGATTATGGTGGCAGATCACTGACGACGATAAAGCACATTCATATGAACGCCACCAAATGGAAGAGTCTTACGCAGTTTGCGGCCCACCTCGGTCGAGAGGGTATTTGCCGTGTCGAAGAAACCGAGAAGGGTCTGTTTGTTTCTTACATCGATCGGAGTCCGGAAACGATGCGACGACGGGAGGCGATCCTTAAGAAAGAGCGGCAGGACAGGGGAGACGAGGAGCGGGAGCAGCAGCAGATTCAGGAACAGATCGAGCGAGCTCGGCGGAATGCGGAGAAGCAGGATGAGATCGATCCTGAAGCACGAACTCTGCAGCGCAAGGAGGGCGAGAAGGTGAAGCTCAATATCGGGTTTGGGTCGAAAACGAATGGAGAGTCGAAGTCAGTGACGCCAGAGACGCAGTCGCCAGAAGAGAAGGATAAGGGGCCATCTTCAGCGACACAAGACACGAGTACGGTTGAGTCTCCTGCGGCTCCGGTAGAGGCTGCACCGCAACCGGCGGCTGCAGCCCAACCGATGGCGCCGAAACTCTCCATGTCGTTTAACAATAACAAGCCGAAGAACGTTTTCGCAGCCATGGCAAAGAAGAACCCTCTGGCAGGAAAGAAAGGGCCGGTGCTGGAACAACCTAAGAAGATGACCGAGCAGGAACGCATCATGAAGGAGGAGATGGAAGCGATGGAGCGCAAGCGTATGCGAGCAGGTTCAGGGTTGCCAAATGCCAAGCGTCCGAAGATCTCCTAAGAATGGCCTGCTGGTGGATATATCCGCTTTCAATCTATACAAGCAACAGGTATGCCGCGACTCCGTTCTCGGCGGGCCGTCTTGACTCTCGACCTTAAGTCAAGACCCCAAGCCTGTTAGGTCTCGAGGAACATCAGTTCAATCTCCCGCGACAGTTTCAGTCTGCGCCGGACGTTTGGTCAACCACTTTAACAAAACGTCCTTGGCGACTCGCCAACACAGCGCAACGTGCGTCTGTACACAATCCCCTGCTCGGATTGTTGTGGTTCGTGAATCCTAAAAGAACAAGATTCTGATGTGAGATAATGCTTCTTTGATGGCGTATCGGTTCGTCAGATCCTAGGAATACTGCTATTTTCCTCTCCAGCTTACTTTAGGCCGTTCAGCTTACGGTTCGATATCATAGCTCGCTTTCAACACTTCTTGACATTAGCAATAGATCAATCCGTGTCAATAATCAATATCTTGGTTCATTCTATTTGCTTATTAATAGGGGTCTCCATACAACCTGCGCATATACCTTCCATCGCTATGGGCACCGGAGATGTTGCCATATAGCCCATGAGCAGGTGTATGACCTGAAGTGGAAAGCCCTGATCAGCCCACTGGACGGTTTCGGAAGAGATGGTTACAATGCTGTTGACAGCACTGTCACATTGGCCTAGGGGATAGCCTTCGTCCATATGCGAGGATATATATTGCACATCACTCGGAGTACGTATAACACTGGCAACTTATGCCCACCAATATCAAAGGAGTCTGTGGGGTCATCAAAATATCTACAAGAACCCTAGTGCTAAGCAACATGCATCAAGTTGAAACCGCATTAGGACTACCAGCTGTTTGTGTATAAGTCCTCTATGGAGAATCCGCTATTTTCCTTAGGTAGGCCCCATTTGCCTCGTATAGCTAACAAGGCTGCCTGCCTAACATCGGAGGCCCGGGTGGTCTAGTGGTATGATTCTCGCTTAGGGATAAACCCAAGCATATCTGCGAGAGGTCCCGCGTTCGATCCGCGGCTCGGGCCAACCTTCACTTTTTGCTTTTACATTTCACATTTTGTTTACTTTAAATTACTGGCAAGACCAGGCCACCCCAAAGTGGACTATTCATTCTTGATTGTACCTTGACCACGCTATCAACAATCCCGGCCGAAGCAGGATGTGTTGACTCTTGGCCGTTATGCCAATGACTCAGTACTCGGTAGGTCACGTGCATACAGGGACTGGCCTCTATGATGGATGTACAAGACACCAGGCAGAAGAGAAGTCCTTAACTACCTTTTCAATTCATATAGAAGAGGGACGAAGTACTGGAGAGGCGAATGAATCCTCAGCGAAGGCAAGTGACAAGGAGGTTCACTGCGTCTCCAAATCTTCGGGTTCTCTTCCCGAAGCCGAAACCGCAATGGTTCCCCATAATATCTGCTTCTTGATCTAGTTGTTCATACGTACTTGGTCTATTTCATCCAATTCTTCCAAAGACACACGCAGTGGGCTCATCACTACCGAAATAATCCAACAAAATGGCATCAGAACGTACCCTTGCGTTCATTGGTTGCGGTACCTATAGGAGGCCCCTTGTTTCTGCGTCTGTGGAACTAACCATTTGAAAGGGAATATGGGATCATCTATTTTGAGCGGCCTCCTTGACGCGACCCGTTCGACGACAGATTCCAATGGTAGTACATCAGCAAAGATCTCACGTTTTATCGTGAGCACGAAGAGCGCTGCATCTGCCCACCGACTTTGCGATGAATTCAAAGCGGACGAATCTCGTGTTGACATTAGACATTCTGCAAATCTTCTCGCCATGCAAGAGGCCAATATTGTCCTTCTTGCCTGCAAACCTTATCTGGCCGAGGAAGTTTTGGGCGAGCCTGGTGTGCGGGAGGCCCTAGCAGGGAAATTGGTGATCAGCATCATGGCGGGAAAAACACCTGAACATATTGAGAAGTATATCTATCGCGATTCACCCTCAGGCGAAGCCGAATCGAAGGCGATTATCGTGAGAGCAATGCCCAACGTTGCAGCTCGTCTGCGTCAGTCGATGACCATCATCGAGATCAACAACAGTCTTTCGTATGACATGGCCGACACCCTGGCCTGGATTTTCGAACAGATCGGAAAGGTGAAATTCCTGGCGACAGATCTGTTTGATATCGGCACAATGCTTGTGGGTTCCTCCATTGCTGTTCTGACTGTTCCGTTGGATGGCATTCTGGATGGCTGCGTTGCGGAGGGGATCCGAAGAGCAGATGCGTTGGAGATGGCAGCACAAAATTTGATTGGAATGGCTGGTTTGTTGCGAGAAGGGGTGCATCCAGCTATCCTAAGAGAAAGTATCTCTTCCCCACGGGGTTGTACAATTCAGGGTCTGTTGACGGTGGAGAAGGAGGGCGTGAGAGGAGCGTGCGCACAAGCGATGATTAACGGAGCTAGGCATCTAAAGGAAATGCCTTGATAGTTCATGTGATATAGAAAGAACTGCCTAGAACATAGATGGAATCTGACCTGTAATAGCGATGGAACTTGTTAGTGGCTTTGACTGTGTCTGGAATGTAGTGCGGAATCTCAAACCGAGACTTTGTCGGAAGGGAGTCCGAGGTCATCTGTACAAGACCACGAATCGAATCATGAAATGTGATCAGAGTGTTCCTGGGTGATTTTCATCTCAACACCAATCGGGGACCAGGCCGTCATCATTGATCTACAGCATTAGAACTAGCTGGCCGACTTGACCCCTCACGTACGAAGTGAGAGAAAGAGAACAGAATGAAAGATAAATAGCGACATAGAGACGATGTAGTAGTTGTGGGTTGAAGCGTCATTGTTGGAAAAACCTCAAGATGTCAGTGATATTGCTAGTGCCAAAGCGACCCAGCATTGTGTCCTTGGTTGCAGCCAAACAATTACGCTGTCAAACTTCAACATCAGGTACGACGCATCGCACACAACGACCTGGAGATGCCATCATTTCACAGCCATCTCCATCACCAAAGAAGGCGCCTCTCTCAGTGCTGCCAACAGGAACCCTTATTCGCTCGCTTTTGTTCACATCCATCATGTCCTCTCCCTTACTGAACCCTTGTTTATCAATGATGAAATACGTTGTGGATTCCAAATCTCCCCTCCTCAATCCATCAAAGAACCCGCTGATAGATTACCTCCTTCGAAAAACAATATACAATCACTTCTGCGCAGGCACAAACGAGGCTGAAGTGCGCAAGACCGTCCAGGATATGAAAAGCCTAGGATTCAAGGGTGTCATCCTTGGATACGCCAGAGAATCAATTGCGAAGGCGGACGAAAACGACAACAGTAGCTTTCACGTTGAGGAGAGTCAACTAGCAATTCAAGACCAAGCAGTGGAGGAATGGAGACAAGGAAACCTACGAACACTGAAGATGATTGGCGCAGGAGACTTCCTTGGAATCAAGTAATGATCAATTCACGATGGACATCTGCGCCAACTCAAACGGACAGCTAGCTAACAGAATCAGATTCACCGGAGCAGGCCCTAAAGCCGTCGAAGCCCTTTCTCGCGGCGACCTCGTTCCGCCCCCTTCTATCGCGCAAGCCATTGAAGAGATCTGCGAGGCCACAGCATCCCAAAACTCTCGCCTCTGGATTGACGCAGAGCAGCAAGTCTTCCAGCCGACGATCGACGCCTGGACGATTGACCTCATGCGAAGGTTTAACCGCAACGGGAGGATAGTCGTCTACAATACCATCCAGGCATATTTGAAGTCCTCGACCGAGAACGTCCACCGACACCTTTGCCTAGCTCAAAGAGAAGGATGGACATTGGGGATCAAGCTTGTCCGCGGCGCCTACATTGCGCACGATATCAGATCCCGCATACACGATATTAAGGCTGATACGGATAACAGCTACGACTATATTGTTGAGAGACTTTTATCACGAGAGTCCCCACTTAAAACAGCGTCGGATGATGCGTCAGAGTTTCCGGATGTACGGTTGTTTGTTGCCTCTCATAACGCGGAAAGCGTGCGCAAGGCGTCGACACTGTATAGACAGAGGATTCATAACGGTCAACCGACAATTCCACTTGAGATTGGCCAGTTGCAAGGAATGGCGGATGAAGTGAGCTGTGAGTTGTTGGCTGGGAACAGCACTGGTCAGTCGGAGGCACCCACACCTGGAGTATTCAAGTGTCTGGCTTGGGGGACAACAGAAGAATGCCTCCATTTCCTGTTGCGAAGAGCGATTGAGAATAAATCGGCAATGGAGAGGACCAGAGACACAGCAGTAGCGATGCGACGGGAAGCCCGGAGGAGAGTTGGGTGGTGAGGCATCAGTATGTAAGGAGGACTTCAGCCATTGTATATATTGCTTCTGCAAGCCACATAGACACGGACTGAGCGTCCACTAATCACACTGCGACAACACAGTCAACTTACCTGTCACGCGAGCTTCTGTCCCTAACGCAAAATGCGGGGAAGTACTCATGCCTCCCTCTTTTGGCCATCGGCAGCTGTAACCGAACTCTCCAAGGGCTGAACTCGGGATGGGATTCCGTGCTGTCGTCGAAATCATGATTGTCAATGTTCACCCTTTATGCCTTCAGATAGATGGTTTGATAACTGTCATTCTTCTAATAATCATAACTCAATATCATCTGGGAAGCCGAGCTTGAATCTCAGGCGGCACATTGTCCTTGCCAATAAAACGCATCCACCGTCCAGTATCCTCAAATTCATCCTTGACTTCTTTAACCACTTGGTTGTTCGCCGGTATCCGGCCAGCCAGTCCGACAACACCAACCTCCTCAGCGTAGATAGCCCAGAGCCTCAACAACTCATTGAAGATTTCAGGCTTCTCCTTGCTCAAATCGTGCGTCTCTCCAGGATCCTCTACAATGTCAAAGAGCTCCCACCGCTGCGGGCCCCGAGGGAGAGGAACATAAGTAATCTTGTACCGTCCCTTTCGCAGGGCACCACTTCCAGCGATTTCCCAGCCTGTGACATAATCTTCGCCGTGGATCGATGACAGGGCAGGGGAAGTATCCATGCCAGCGACCGCTATGGTGTCCAGGAACGGCTTCCAACTGACACCACGAACGCGCTCGATCTTCCGTCCTCGATATGTGGTTCCCGGATGTTGCAGCCCGGCATACTCCAGAATAGTCGGGACAATGTCCATGACTGTACAAAAGGCATCGATAATGCGACCACCCTCATGTAGGGCTTCCGGGTCGCCCGCCGGCTTCACGACCAAAGGCACACGGCAACCACCCTCTGTGGAGAACATCTTGTAGAGTCGCGATGGGGCGGTAGCTGCTTGGGCCCAGTGACTGCCGTACCACACGTAGGAGGTTGGCCGCCCGATATTTTCCAACGAATTATCATAGTACTTCTCCAGATGTGCGGTGATGCCACTGCCACCGAGAGGCGATGCCTCGTAGCTGGCGCCCTCGGCACCATTATCCGACATGAAGCAGATTATGGTGTTGTCGTATTCACCCGACTGTTGCAAATAATCCACAACGCGGCCGATATTGTCATCCATCACTTGCACCATGGCGGCGTAGACTTCCATCGCACGAGCGGATTTCGCCCGCTCTTCCTCGTTCATCGTCTCCCAATCAAGGTCCCCCGGTCCCGTTACGACTTCGTGTGGCACAATGTCTGGCGCGACCAAGTCGAGTTCCTTTAGTCTCTCGAGCCGCTTAAGCCTCAATGCGGCTGGGCCATTATCGTACTTCCCGCGGTACTTGTCCACGTAGGACTTGGGCGCTTGCAGAGGCCAGTGCGGAGCAGTGAAAGGGAGGTAGGCGAAGAACGGCTTTCCTTTCTCCGACTCCGGACGCTCGGAAAGAAACTCGATGACTTTCGAGGCGTACGTCTTGGAAGAATAAAAGTCCTCTGGCAGCTTTGTAGAATACTCAGCGTCTTCCATGTGGAGGGCTGTCACAGTTGTCTGGAAGAAGGGATGGACGCCCGCGACAATATCATCATACTCAGGCTCATAGCCTGGGACTATTAGCAACCCTCAGGCTCAGGACGACCATAACAACTTGCACAATCTCACCATAATGATTCGCAGCACCAGAAAGCATAGCATACGATTTTGCAAACCCCCGAGCATGCGGCGAGTACTCCCGCTTCAAGCCTAGGTGCCATTTCCCCGACATCAAAGTATAGTACCCGCCGTCCCTGAGCAGCTCCGGCAATGCCACCACCCTCTCATTCAGGTACCCTTCATGGCCTGGGGCGCCTTGGTGAGCGCGAGACAGCGCTATATACTCAGGCATTTGGCCCAGACCGGTCAGATGGTGGTCGGTGCCGGTCATGAGCATGGACCGCGTAGGAGCGCACGCCGCAGCGACATGAAAGGAAGTGAACCGCAGTCCACCGGGGGAATACGCCAAGGCATCGATGTTGGGAGTACTAATCTCGGACCCAAAGCACCCGCAGTCGCTGAAGCCGAGGTCATCGGCGACGATGACCAGGAAGTTAGGCCGGGATGTCATCAAGGACGATCGGGCGGGAGCCGCGAGCTGTTATATAGACACAACTGGGACTTTTCGAAGGATCATTGTCGAAGGATGCGAATGAAGCTGTTTATATATGTACCTTGTATAGTTTTGCTAGATGATTGTGCCGCAAGGCCGTCGGGATCGCAAAGATTCCACGTCGGCATAGCTTGCGCATGTCAATGCCTGATCACAAAAGTGAAGAAACACTGCCATTCCCATCCCACAATCAAGTCCAGGTACTGCACCTCGTAGAATAATATGGCCAATTGCATCAGAGCATGCTATAGCTTGCTTCCATACTGCATTGGTTGTGTTATGGGGAAATCTGGAAGACTGCCAGAGGAGTCAGCAAGAGTCAGCATATCGCCGTTTCGAAACCATCTATCCATGGCGGCTCGATGTCATTCGTTTCGACTTATATTAGATGCTGGAAACGAGAAATCAAATGAACGTGAGGGTCTCGGTATGTATGGCCAGCAAGGAAGAGCAGAGTAGGGGATTTACGGATAAGCAATTCATGAACTATGCTGACTGCATGTAATCAGCCATATGCTTTTGACTAAGAAGACTGGTAAGAAGCTGAGTTGCTGACGGCCAATGTTCTCTATCACCAGTGCGACGGATGCAAGATGATGGTGTTAGTCGATGCTGATCAAAGTAGGAACCAGCGCATCTCCATCAGTTATGCAGGTGGCTAAGGCGCGCAAACGCGCGCTCGCTTGACCTTCGTTGCACGCTGTGTTTTCATCTCATTCTTCGATACTCTAACGAGTTTCGATGAAATTCATTCATTACATGATTAGACTAGAGCTTGAATTTCATACTCATTTCGATTCTCGAATCAAGAAGCTGACCGGTTGCATAAGACCTAAGCAGTAAGCAAGGTGTTAGGTCTGCCTGTTGGCTAGCTAGCAAGCATCAGATCATATTATGTACATCATAAGGGAATGTATAATACAATGCAAAAGCCCAAGGATCTTCAATTGCCGTCGACTGACGACTCATCCTCAAGCATTGAACTGCCGGTACCGACGGTCATTCAAACCACCAGACAGCGCAGCAGCAGCCCTGACGTCCAGCCTTCTCTTGTTGTTGCTATGACCACTAGACGATCCCTTACTCTCACCCAGGATAGCCCATTCAGCAACAGTAGCACCTTCCTTGCCGCCTGCCTGATTACCCGAGATCAGCAGAGTGGCGTAGCGAGACGTGTGCACAGTCTGCGACAGATTCACATCGGTCGTATTACCAGTAGCCATGACAACTTCGTTGTAGTCAGTGCTCTCGGCGTTATAAGGCTGAGATTGCTTGATGTTCGTCAATGTGGTGACGACCTTGTATCGGGAGTTCCCGTGAGCGGAAGATACCGCGGCCACTGGGTCCTCAAGCATCTCGTCGTGGAAGATGACGGTGGCATTGACGGGAGGGGCTTGCCACCAGTCAAAGTGGAAGCCAGAGACCTTGGAGTTGATCTCAACGTCGGCCAGGGTCACGGTCAACGAGCTCATGTTGGCGGTGGCAGGCCGCCACTTGGTAGAAGTTGCCCCGTCTACGGCTGCAATGGGGAACTGACCAGGAGCATAGTCATGAGGAGAGTACACAGGGCGACATTGCACCATGTTTCCAGGGATGGTGTTGTTGAATCCGATCTGTCTGTTTGGAACGACCAGGGGGCCCGTGGCTGGAAGTCGGTAGGCAGTTGAGTTGCTGGGGTCGCCAACCAAGACAGAAATGGTGGCGTTGGCAAAGCGAGAGTCTGCTGTGTCGAGAGGCGCGATGTTTGCGGCTCGGCTGATAGTCGTATGGGTGCGGTTGGAGCTCGCGGAAATGGGCCATCCGCGCCAGTAGAACGTGCGGTATTTCACGTTGGAAACCTGAGGGGGTAGGTTAGGGTCAATATGAATGGCATCGTCGGGAAGCAATCGCAGTCCCAGGTATCCCATGAGGACGACCTGGTTGGCACCGCCATGTCCTGTCAAAAAGGGATAAGCCGGGTGAGTGCCACCGTTGATACTGGCGTCATCGATCATTTGTTCGGACAGTTGGTAGAACGGAGCTCTCATGTACGGGTCGTAAGAGTCCTGATGGTAGGTATAGGCAGAGCAGCCGGACGGTGAGACATCATTTGCAGTGATTGCAAAGATAGCCCACGTCATAGCAGGACCATCAGGAGACTGTTTGTTGGCATACTGTATGCACATGAATGGTTAGTCCCGTTCAGTGTCAGTGCAAAATTAGGAGAGCAAGATGATCTCACATAGTCGAGGTCATTCAGCGCGTACTGGGCTGTATAGTTGTTGTCATAGACCAAAGGATAGGTGACAAGCACCACATCAGCCTGCTTCACCACAGTAGTACCGTTCATGGTGGTATACTCCATCGTCACACCGTTCTCCCTGATGACGAGGACATTTTCTGAGATTTCCGTCCAGGTCTCATTCTGTTCGAGACCAAACTGCTTCCGGAAGGAATTGGCGTAGCTGAGTGTCTCGGAGATAAGAGGCATCGTGAAGCCACCGCCATCAACGTGGTTGGCATATTCATCCTAGAAAATTGATTAGTTTCGAGGTATGCAACACCCACATAGTCAGACGTACCGGATCAGTCATATTGGTCAGCGTCCAGGACGAACCATTGCGCTGAACAAGGTTCGAATACACAGTGGCAACAGAGTCATAGATGGGAAAATGCTGCTCGCGGAAAGTCTTGGTATCGCCGCTCGCAACCCATTGATACATCAGGGAAAGCCCGATATCGCCGTTCAGGTGATACTGGTAGTCCCAGCAAGGACCAGTACCGGTACAGTTACCGA